GTAACTTTTATTCTCACTGTAGTATTGTTGCCGCCGCCATATCCTGAAGACGCTGTGTGCTTCGTTGTGAAAGCGAAACTACTTTGTTTGGTCTTCCAAAAGAGGACGATATCGCTTCGTCATGCCTGGAGCTGATCCGTGCTGGTCGCTGAGGGAATACAACAGTATGTGAGGGGCGTAACATTTCCGTATCACGCTTGAGGTATTTGGCCAATCACAACGCACTGGATAGCTGGCCAATCACAGCACACCTCGCTTTTTCAGACCGATGAGCTTTGTAAAAATCGACACGTTTCAAAAAGGCGGTGCATAGAGGAGAAACAATAATGTACAGTATGTGGAAAATAATGTGTTTTTTTAACTTTAAACCGCATAAACACATTTCATTACACCAAATACACAAAATAATGTTCTTTTTAGCAGCATCATATGACCCCTTTAATATATTAATCGGGAGACTTTAATATGAAATATATATGTACAGGTGCATCTCAAAAATTAGAATATCGTGAAAGTACTCTTTTTGTAACATTTCAAAAAGTGAAACTTTCATATATTCTAGTTTCATTACATGTAAAGTAAAACATTTCAAAAGTTTTTTTTTTTGTAATTATTAGAATATTTCCTAAGATCAATCAAAAAAGGATTTGCAAAACAGAAAAGGTCAAGTTCTTTAAAGTATGTTCATTTACGCACTCAAATACTTGGTCGGGGCTCCTTTAGCACAAACTCCAGCATCAGTGAGGTGTGAGGAAGCGATCAGCCTGTGGTACTGCTGAGGTACTGAGCCTTCAGCTCGTCTGTATTGTTGGATCGACTGTTTCTCATCTTTCTCTTGAAAATATCCCATAGATTCTATATGTGGTTCAGGCCAGGCATGTTGGCTGGCCAATCAAGCACTGTAATATCATGGTCAGCAAACCACTTGGAAGTAGTTTTGGCACTGTGGGCAGGTGCTAAGGAAATCAGTATCTCCATATAAAGCTTGTCAGCAGATGGAAGCATAAAGTGCTCCAAAATCTCCCGGTAGACGACTGCATTGACTTTGCGCTTGATAAAACACAATGGACCACCACCAGCAGATGTCACGGCACCCCAAATCATCACTGACTTCAGAAACTTCACACTAGACTTCAAGCAGCTTGGATTCTGTGCCTCTCCAGTCTTCCTCCAGACCTTGATTTCCAAATGAAATGCAAAATTTACTCTCAAAGTATTCTCAAGCTTGCGGTCATACCTGTTGCTTGTGCACCTTTCCTACCCAATTTCTTCCTTCCAGTCACTTTACGATATTCACATTTTTTTAGATGCACCTGTAGGCTATTTTGTAAAATAGTTATCCCACCATTTAGGTTAATGTTAATAATTTCGTCCATTTAAAATGAAAAAGTGAAGACGTTTTTGTTGTATTGTTGTTATTATTTCTACATGTTATTATCTTCATAACATTTGACAAATTAAAAAGTAACTTACAAAAAGACACAAAAGATGATTAAAATGGAATAAAACTTTAGAAATAAATTATTACTTACCCTTATCGGCGATAACTTATCGCTATATGTAAACTATAACCATAAATCATTATACTGAATAAACAAAAAAAAAATAAAAAATGTTTTATGTCTATTACACAGGTGACACATTTTATATAATGCAAGGCACTGATTGCACAAACGATCAATTAATCAATCAATCAATCAAATGAGAGAGAAAGAGAAAGAGAAAGAGAGAGAGGCCTATATTTAAACTGCTTGACCATTCCTGGGAAAAGCACTGATTTAAAAGAGTGATTTGTTCATGAAACCGGCATTGATTATAGCCATAGGCTTGTATACATGATGTTTATAGCAGAATCTGTGAGATAGTTGGGTTTTTTAGTTCAAATGAGTTACGCACATCTGTCATGGGTGCACATGCACGTCAGTAATTCACACATCTGGCTCTTGAGTGTATTTCATCTCATCTGCTGGATTCTTGAGTGACATCTGCAGCTTCTCTGCACTTAATTAATAAAGGTAGACACCACCGCTGCCCTCCTCACTCTAATTACTGTCCCATTGGCTCATATGTGTTTCGGCCCACGTAGAAGGCATAGGGCAGATCCCACAGCTCGCTGCCCTCCACTGAGCAGAATGCTGATTAGCTTCATTTGGCTCTGTGTATTTGCTGCTTCCATTCAGGGAATTTATTAAAGCCTGTCCAACCTCAGTTAACGAAGATGGGTTTGGTGCAGGTTGTGCATTAAAACTTAAAATCTAAAAAAGCATATTTCAGACTGATGATGAGGAGCAAATCTATCCATCTCTCCTATACATAGATTTCTATCATACTTTATTTTTTTATTCCACATTATGCTTCCACATATTTTTTGCAGTCACTTTTGGTGCAGTGGCACTAGATGGCAGATTATGCTCATGAAACAAAGAGAGTTGCATGAAACATGAGAGAAAGAGAAGAAAGAGGGCAGTATATGACCACTTACTGAGCCCGTGTGTTCCATATGCGATTGACTTCAGTCCTCTGACTCCATTCCTCAATTCCAAAGACATGAAACTGTAAAACTGATTGTTTTTTTTATTTATATGCTATAGTGTGCAAGGAGACCTATAATATGGAGAAAGCTGTTTGTTAGTATTCCCATTCAGTTCAATTACAGTTGCTGGTTGAATGATCTAAATTGAAACGTTGGATCAGGCTTTCATGTGCTGGATGATAAAACTTGAGAATGAGTACTTCCCACAGAATGAGGGATCTGAGGTATCAGAACAGTATACTAGAAATGATCATCTTGGCTGCAAGGTTTGGATGATTGGCAAACACACATTTCCTTTAAAATGTAAAAAAGATGAGTTATTCAGCAACCTGTTTAAAATTCTCACCTAGTGAAACTTTAATTCCCACATGTGGGCTACAGCCTTCAGGGTCAGACTTCTGATTCTTATGTTTGCATGAAATAGTCGGTAACTTAAGCATAATTAAGCTGCATATGCCTAATAAAAAATAGATAGATAGATGGATGGATAGATGAAATTATAACTTTTATAACATTTTATTTCAGCTACATTTCGACAACATTTCTTTCATTTCTATTGAAGTACCAAAATAATTTAAACCAAACCAAAAAAAAAAACTTCATAATAGAATATATAGACATTTAAATGGCTCTGAACTAAACAAAAATGAGAATTGTTGCATTGGCAACTAGCTGAAATGTAATAAGTTTACTTATACTTTTTTATTTATTTTTATTTCTTTATTTAATTATTTTGGTTCTTTGCAATATTTTATTTTATTTCAGTTCATGTTTATTTTATTTCATGTCTCTGGTTTAGTTTAAACTGAAGTACTAAAATAATTATATAAGCTAAATAAAAAATAAATAAATAAATAAAACAGAATAAAAACGAATACAAACCACAGATATATTTAAAAAATACCTGAAACATTAACTGAAATAAAATATACATAAAACTTCAACTATTTTTATTTCAGCTAGTTGTCATGACAACATTTCTAATTTTTGTTAAGTTTAAATTGACTTACTAAAATAACAAAAACAAAATAAATAAAACCAAAGGCTAAAATATATATGAACACATTTAAATAAATAAAAAATAATAATAATAAAGACAAAAACAAAACAAAATGACTAAAAATGTAAAGTTAAAATGTAAATAGAAAACATAAAAAACGAAATACGAGCATGGTGCTCAATTCCAATGTTTTTTTTTTTTTTTTGCCATTTCGTTTTCAATTTGCAAAAATGAATCATTGCATAAAAACAACAAAAAGAATCTCCTTAGGCATTTTTTGTTACAATTGACTAC